TCACCACAGAAAATGAAGAATGCTGACCTGGGGGGGGGGTGGGGGGTGGGGGTGGAGAGAGATTTAATTAAACCAAACTATCTTGAAAAATGTTACATTTTCAATAGGAGTGCACGAAGTGAACATACGGTGGTCTCTTAGGCGCGTTGGGATCCTTAAATCGCCTCTTCTTCTCACCCTTTGGTGGGATGTAGTTCTTCATTTCTCTCTCATAGCGAACCTTATCTTGCTTGGCCATATCCTCAAACCTACCCTTCTCTTTGACAGACGTCGTCTATTTAGAATGAGAAAAAGCTGTTATCAAAAAGTGTAAGGTACATTAAAGAGCATATTTTTGCAAAGATTTTTTCAAATAAGTTTAAAAGCACAACATTTCCATAATATAACTTCATCATATTTCTCAGTGTTTTTCAGAACAGTACCTTCCATCGCTCTGAACACTTCTTGGAGAATTCAGAGAAGTTTACACTGGCTTCAGGGTGCTTCTTTTTGTGTTCTTCACGGCAGGTTTGCACAAAGTAGGCATAAGAGGACATCTTTCCTCTGGGCTTGCTTGGATCTTTACCCATCTTTACCCTCTTGTAAAAAAACATATTCTCAAATAAATGAAAGTGACATGCTATACTCTTTTAAATTTTGGATTCTTTTAAAATTATGATGCAAACACTTCCTACATGTATGTAATTATACACATAGACACATTTTAATATATATGTGTATATATATATATATATATATATATATATATATATAAATGGCATACTGCACACATACATACACATTTAAAGATTTTTGTTTTATATTTTATTTTCTATATATCATTATTACGTACTGAGGCACATAATGACTCTGAAAGAAAAAACATCAGCATGTTAAAACGTGCAGTGAAATCACATTATTGAGATGGACAGGGAGATGCACAAAGACCGCCTCAAGTTCACGGTGAAAGACAAGGACATCCTCCATTTCGTGAATAAAAACACATATTTAATGGGTTAATATTCATTCTCCCCCCTTTTCCTCGTTTATGTGTGTTTTACATCAACTGAACATTCATAGCAGCATCGCCCAAGAGCGGGCAGATATATTACATAGGGCCCGCCTTAAAATGCCTAAACGGTGCAACAATAATATTTCTTCTTCCATTTTGAAAAAGCCGTCTTCATGAGAGAAAGTCCCACTCAATTGTCTCCTCCCACATTCCTGGGTAATTTCGAGGACCCAAAATCACCGCACTTCGTCCGTTTTTCGCCCCTGGCCCGCCGCTTTCTGACATGATCGCCTCCCCTATGGAAGAAGTCGCTCTGTATGGACACAGTGTCTGTAACTATAAGCGCTATGCAATGGGAGTTTCGCTCTCGTAAGTCCGCCGTTCAACTGGAGCCACATGAGCACAGCTAGCAGAGCCAACATGGCTGCCTCATTCTCTCCCTTTATGTCTGCCAGCCAGAGCCGCATACACACAACACCGGCGGTGGGAAACCATATAAATAACATATTACCCCATCTTTCTTGCTCGCTTTTCCTTGGAAAACACCAGAGTTCACTAAAATAGACACTCGGGCTTTCGTACAAGTTTAAAAAGCAGTGCAAACGAGCTTGGCTGAATTTTATTTGATTAGTTAAGTTGAATGGCGCTTGCACCCCGTCAGTCTCTATCCCCCGCAAGCCAGCCATATTATATTACTGAACACGGCCGCACAACGTCCCGTTCTGAAGGACCAGGGAGAAAAATGCACACAATGACTAGTACATTCCCTCGGGACTGGTACATTTATCCGAGGTGTTATTTTAGTCTGTATGTGAGAATGCCAAGCACGTCACTGTCTCGCACAATAACCGCTTTAACGGAGACCCAAACAAGCTAACTGCTTTAGCTGGGATGGCTACCTGACAAATATTACAACCCATCCCATTAGAGGCTATTAGAATACTGTCATTTCAAAAGGAAAAAGCAACATTTTTTTTAATCTTCGGAAGATATTTTCAGTCAGGACATTTCACTCTGTTACTAAGCGCACTGATTGCATGACTGGCGAATATTCTGACAAAGATTTAACGCTCTGCTTTCACCAAATACGCAACTACCAACAGAAAATGGGTTGTAATATACGAAGCTATTTTTTTTTTTAATATAGTTAATTTAGGCCCTGACAAGCATATTTTGGCAAAACTCACCAACCTTCTCTATTTGCAGCCTCTGTGGATGTCTAGATAATGGGGCTTTGAAGTACAATAACACCGATGCGCGCTCTTCCAAGTGCGTGAAGAACACTCTGCTCACGAGAGACACAGTATACAGTCACGAATCCTATTGGCTACCGCCAAGTCTTGAGCGCCTGTGATTGGCTGTCGGCACACTATAGCCCGCTACGAGAGCTGAAGTGTGGTTGGCTGTTCATCGGCGAAACGTCATTTTTTTTCAACGGCGCGTGAATATAAAAAACCATCCACTGATACAAGAGTAATAGTATCAGACACCGTTTTGTACCGCAGGGTACTTACTATAGTACATGTAAGCACACAGTTGTTGTTTAAGTAAAGGTTTCAAATTGTATGATGAATATTTGCTTTGAGTACATGGTATTTCAAGGATTTCACCGCACAAATGAGCGTTGATAACTGTCGGAAGAAACTAACAGTGCATACTGTGTATACACTGAGTGTATACTTACTACTACTATATTGATCGAATTACGGAGAGACCTGGACAGCGAATGAAGGCTTTAACCCCTTTAAAGTATATCAAAACAAATTGTTGTGAGTTTTGCAAAGTACATTCATGTCATTCTACATATTAGATTAGTATGCGCTTGCAACCATAGCAAAAACACGCCGCTCGAGCGTTTTCTGGTGGGTACACAAAGCACAAGTACTGTCAATATTGTTAATTTAATTGCATATTCGCATGTCACACGTACATCACAAAACATGTTAAATACGTTAAAGTCTACGTTTGAAATCATTCAAACGGTTCTGTTTTAAAATCGCTCAAAGGCTGCATTTGATCCATGCACGAAATGTCCATTTAACAAACTTTGGCCAAACTCAATATAAATTAGTCCACTGATTATTTATTTTATTTATTTAGTCATTTATTAGACGCTTTTATCCCAAGCGACTTACAGATGAGGACAACAGAAGCAATCAATTGTAGTGTTAAAACAACTAAAAACAGATCCAAAACTAAAAGCTAAAACTTTATAAATACTACCTATACACGTTTTTAAAATAAAGAGATTAAATAAAAATGACAAATGCATACAACAAAATGTCAAAACTTAACATTTAAATGAAAAACAAAAAATAAAGCTAAAAACAATTCAAAATATTAAAGAACAAAAGGTATAAGACTAAGAGTATAATAATGATTCTAACATAACACTAAGCCAAACACCAAAAAAACAACTACATATGTGTGTATGTACAACCACACACACATACATACACATTTATAAATGTAATATATATATATATATATATATATATATATATATATATATTATTTCATTTCATTTGGTTTGTTTAAGTATTAAAATAACTCAAATTAAATAAAACTAAAATCTTAATAAAAAACCTATAAAGACATAATAAATTCAGACACCGTTTAACTAAAATTTAAATAAATGACAAATACAAATAATACAAATCAAATGACAGTAGTTTATCAGTAATCCTAAAAAAATAACGCTGCCAAACACACATGCTAAAAAACAACAACTTACTTACACATAGTAAGAAATGGTTATAAAAACTGAAACAGAAGCGAAACAAGTAAAAGGAAAGAGGAGAAATAAGAAGCAATACTTATTATTTATTTATTTTTTCTTTTCAACAAGGATTTAATAAACATAAATCACCTGAAATGTATGACTTTAATGAAAAATCCTGAAAGAACCAAACAGAAAAGAATGAATAGGCCTATTATTAATCTTTTATTCCTCATTGACAACATTTGTCGTAGTGAAGATATCAAAAGACTTTATAATTGTTTTTAAAACAGAAATCGAACAATACTTGCTTTTTTTTTTTAGCTATAATTGTTGCTTTTCTTTTCTCGTTAGGCTATATGTATTATATTGCATATAAAATTAGCATTTGTTGCTTATGTATGTTTTTGTGATGCCTTGACAATTCAAAAAATGGAAATCTTGAAATGCACCATGTTTTCCACTGAGCGGCGCTACGCCCTAATTAAATCGAACTGTAGGTTGGAGAGAAATCCTAAAGAATTTTGCCGATTTGTTTTCTGTTTCTTTAACGTTAACGACTCTTTTAGTACTTTTAACTAAGAAAAAAAACGTGGATACTCATGGACTAATAGAATCCGATTTTTTTGCATTTTCTATTGATTTTTTTTTTTTTTGCATAGGGCTATTTCGCTCACAAATGCATTGTATTCGTGGAGCCTTGATTTCAGTGTGCCGTTTACAAACTTTTTGGCCGCTTAACATTGTCAGCGAGTCTTTGGGTTTGCGTGCGTCATTGTACCTGCTAAAAGAGACCCCCTCGGAGAGTAAGTTAACACTCGCTCGCGCGCGCGTTGTTGTGCGTTTCCTATAACAACATCAGCTTACAGATAACCTCAGATAGGCATTAGCAATTCAGATCAACGGGTGAAAACTTTTCGAATGCATTTCAGGAACATCACAACAGGTGCGTCGGCTGCGTCCAAAGTATGTCAGCGCAAGATTGCTAGCAGTGAGATTCTCTTGTTGCAACGCACTGATCTGTAAAACGACGGAGCTCCCAGTGAACAGCGCGTGAAACAGATCCTGCTGGACACTTTATTGTCGTTTGGACAACAGTAGCAGAGGCTATCTGTCAAGTCAACAATGGCAAATTATGGTTAGAAAGTTTATTGTGATTTTAATATTTTCAATGTGTTACTTATGTATAAGTCATTGTTTTTTTCCCCACTGTACATTTTAATCTAGATGTTAACAAAAGATGGGAAGCATATGAGACCTCTCATAAAAGAGATTTCATCTATAGATCCATCCCATCTATTCCAGCTCTAAGGTGAGATTTTTATTTTATTTATTTTATTTTTTTAAGAAATGTGATGCAAATGTCAGAGGTAGGATTCATCTAACTTTTTGCTTGGTTCAAACACAAGGCCAAAAACATCTGGCAATATCTATAGAAATTCATTTGCACTGGATGATTCGGTGGGAGCAACTTCATACAGTGAAGATTTCTGCTGGAAGCCTGTGTCAAAGACAGCTTGCATAAGGTCTGCCACAGCATCAGGAAACCGAAGGAACAATCCACACCCAACCCAGGTGAACAGCACATTTTGTAATTTGCTGTGATTCTTGGCTTGCTGATGTATAATTTGAAAGTGTGTGTGAGTGTGTGTACTGGGACTGTTAAGCTTCAAAAATCACTAGGGAAAAATAAGTTAAAATGAGGTTTGGAAAAACATAAGGGTTGGTAAATGATGGTTATAATGTACCATACTTTCTTTTAACACAAAGGCATTCATGGTATGGAGGCATTCTGCAGATCAAATGAAATGTTTTAGTGGTAGTTCCCCTCTTCAGCTCCCTTTGTCTGAGAAGGAAATCCAAAAGGCTCTGAGTGCCCAGTACAGGTCGACCTACAGGACTGACTTTCTTGGATTACCTCAAGGTGAATTTTAGGAATTATTGCACAGACATTTATTTATAAATTTCAAAGCCATTTGAATCTTGATCAATATCAAGTTCTTGTGTTTCCAAAGATTATTATATGTCATGTTATAACAACTTTTTATGTTCTGTCTAAATCACAGGAATTATGAAAAACCATGCAATCTGTACACCTTTTAACCGCAGCCATGCTGTCCACTACTATACCCAGACTGAAATGAGACACAACTACCGCCCACCCAAACTGAAACTTGAGCTTCTGGGGAACAACTCTCGCTATGGGTGCAATAAGCTGCATGGTGTAGCAGCGAAGGGTATTGGTAAGCTTCCACTAAACTGTTACATTTCTGTTTGTGTGCATTGGGGATGAAAGACCAAACTACTTTGTTTGAAACTGATACGACAGCCAACCCTTGCAGTAGCCTAGACACAATGTAAACACAAAGGAATAGACTGAACATGCAATGATCAGATTTAAAGGAATAGTTCACCCAAAAATGAAAGTTCGCTTAAAATTCACTCACCCTCGATCCTTCCAAGATGTAGATGAGTTTGATTCTTTAGTGGAACAAATTTGGAGAAATTCAGCATTGCATCACTTGCTCACCAATGGATCCTCTGCGGTGAATGAGTGCTGTCAGAATGAGAGTCCAAACAGCTGATAAAAACATCACAATAATCCTTAATATGATTAAAAATCCTTAGGAGTTAATCAGGCAGTTAGTTAACAATTACAAAGAAACACTTCATAATTATTCATTTATTGCTAACAAAACACTAATATTCAAGTATGGTACACAGATGAGAGAAGAATAACACACTTTCCTTTTACATTTTAGTTCCTACAGTGATTCACAGTCACATCAATAACCAGGAAAACAGCAAACTGGAGACCACCTACCATAAACATTTTGGAGGTAAACATACCGATGTCTCCTCAATGCAAAAAACAAACCCACCTCAGACATTTCAACAGTTTTGTAAGAAACTGCCTGATACAAGAGAGAAAGAGTGATTCTGTGTTCCGCCTAAACTGTTAGAATACTTTTGGTTTAAGTGCATAAAATTACATTTAAGATTTAAATCTAAAACAAATTAGATTAGTAATAGTAAGAGTTGTGATATTTCGTTAGAGTATCCTACTGTGATCTTGCTTGAGAAACAAATTGACATAAATATAATTTCTAAAGTGTAGCATTTTATTGTGTTAAATATGAATTTTTTATTTGAACTTTTACCAGAAAAGAAGGATGTGAAGACATTGCACATAACCAGTCACTCTGCTGATGGATGTAAGGTGGAGAAGAACAATTGTTTATTGGTGCAAACCCCTTCCACACTGGAGAGGATGTCGGCCTGGCCTGGACCTTTATAATGATGCCATTTTGACCCATGAAAAGCTATATGAATATGTGTGCATTTTTTAGGCTTCTGATTTTCTTCCAAAAGAAAGTGCATTGCTACTTTTTTGAAACGGCCTTTATGCATCTTCGAATGGTGTGCTTAATAAAACACTGAAAGTAAACTGATAATAGGCATAAATCAAGAAGGATGTGAAGACATTGCACATAACCAGTCACTCTGCTGATGGATGTAAGGTGGAGAAGAACAATTGTTTATTGGTGCAAACCCCTTCCACACTGGAGAGGATGTCGGCCTGGCCTGGACCTTTATAATGATGCCATTTTGACCCATGAAAAGCTATATGTGTGCATTTTTTAGGCTTCTGATTTTCTTCCAAAAGAAAGTGCATTGCTACTTTTTTGAAACGGCCTTTATGCATCTTCGAATGGTGTGCTTAATAAAACACTGAAAGTAAACTGATAATAGGCATAAATCATTTTTTTTTACTATACACAGTTTCTGAGATTTGTTTTAGCCTCATTTGGCAAAAACAGATGCATAAAATTGTTCATGATTAGTCTCTTGGGAATAATAAATCTCTTAAGGCTCTATTGGTTCTGAGAATAGATATTTTAAGGATCTAGTAAAGACATTAAATATAATGTCAGGGGAGCTACTGATTTTTTGCCGGCAGCCATATCGCCCTGTAGCCCAAGACTGGTTGCCCACTGAAGCTAAGCAGGGCTGAGCCTGGTCAGTACCTGGATGGGAGACCTCCTGGGAAAACTAGGTTGCTGCTGGAAGAGATGTTAGTGAGGCCAGCAGGGGGTGCTCACCCTGTGGTCTGTGTGGGTCCTAACATCCCAGTAAAGTGATGGGGACACTATACTGTCAACAAGCACTGTCCTTCGGATGAGATGTTAAACCGAGGTCCTGACTCTCTGGTTATTAAAAATCCCAGGATGTCTTTCGAAAAGAGTAGAGGTGTGACCTCGGCATCCTGGACAAATTTGCCCATTGTCCTCTGATCATCATGGCCTCCTAACAATCCCCGTATCTACTGATTGGCTTCATCACTCTGTCTCCTCTCCACCAATAAGCTGGTGTGTGGTGGGCATTCTGGCGCACTATAGCTGCCGTCGCATCATCCAGGTGGATGCTGCACACTGGTGGTGGATGAGGAGATACCCCCTGACATTGTAAAGCACTTTGAGTGCCTAGAAAAGCGCTATATAAATGTAATGAATTATTAATTATTATTATTAAGACATTAATTTTCCTTCAAAGTAAATACCACAGATATCTCTGATGAAGTCAAAATTTACTGTAAAAAAGACTTGAAGAGGTTAGAAGAAAATCAGTTTATGGTGAACTGACACTTCTGCTGATTTTTTTTTTTTTTAGCATAATCAAATTTGGTGTTAAATGTGGCTCTCGGCATCATTATATACGTAGCCACACGACTCTGTTTTGTGTATCAGGTAACCTGAGACTCAGGTGTGCTGTGTCTCTAAGCTCGGGGAGGTCGGTACGCAGCCATAGCTCGTGCAGCAAAACAAGAAAGCAGCCTCTAAGGAGAACGAAAGCCAAGCCAAGAAGACGAGAGACTCTCTCAGATCTCTCCAGATATGCCGCTAGGCAGGAAAATTCGGGCCTCATCTGCTGGAGCCCAACTTGAGACCCATAACAAGCCCAGGTATTCTGCTTTATTCTTTTTTTATTGATCTATATCGTGACAAGGCTTCCTGTTCCCACATTTAAGCATTTAATTTGCTCAGTGCTACTTTGAAACAGCTCCTGATACAGAGACTAATTTCTTCTGCTTCATGACTTTCATCTTGGTATGAGGACTATGTTTCGTACCACATTGGTATTCAGCCATTTTCCAGCTTCTGACCTTGAGGATCACTCCTCCTGTTGTTCATAGTGTTTACTGTTGTCAGGGAATAAGGAAGATGGTTAACGCTGGTGCCAGGCTGGAACACTGTACCAGTTTTTGTCCTTGAGGATTAATTCATTTTTGTTTTGACAGACAAATATGAAGATTTTGCTTGTCTCTAATTTGATTTGGCTTAACTCACCCTTGGCTTTCACTTTGCAAAATGAAGTTTAGGAGGTGTAAAGTTCTCCCTTTGACAGTAAACTTACTACTTGCCTTTGTTTATTCAGAATAGCATGGCATACAACACCATATATGATATCCAAGATATATGATCTTTTTTTTTTGTCATAACAGAACAGATGTTTTATCTAATTTCATGATATCAAACTGTATAGAACTCTAATAATCCATACATAAACACAAAATAGTTAAATCTTTTCAATCTGATTATTTATCTGAAGATATTTGATTTATTTGTTATTACTCATGGCCTAATAATTAAGATATAACTTGACACTTAATATTCTGCAAAGAAACGTTTAAATGTTCATATTAAAGAGCATAATTTTGTATGCATCATTTTTGGATGGGCAACCACTGCAGAGTAATCTGTCATTTATTTCAACAGAGTGCTTGAACTTGCACCCCAGTAAGCAAATCAATTACTTTTTCCTTAGCAAGCCCAAAATTGTTTGTGCTAGAGGTAATTTGCCATCTGACTGCACACTGAAATAGGCATGAAAGTTATAGTCTGTATTTATCACTGTAGAAGAGCAAGTAACCACAAGAAGGGACACTGCTAACTACATCTTTCAGTAGTGTGACAGTAGCTCAGCTGTTTTTAGTAAATTGAAATGTTCATGTTGCTGTTTAATGCTGTCAGCCTAATTGTTTTTGTGGCAAATGCATTACTTATTATAAATTCCTAGGCCAACCGGGAAAGCTAATTTACTTTGGGTTCCCTCTGCAATGTCCTATGGATTTTTAGTTTGTGAGTAAATTGAGGTCTGTGATTACTTGAAGAAACTTTTCAGTCTCCAACTTGAATTGTGAAGCAGCTGTTTTTTAGTTTTGTTTGAAAAAAAAAACTTAGAGAAATAGTTCCCACAAAAAATTTAATTAGCTGAAAATTTAGTCACCCTCAGGCCATCCAAGATGTAGATGAGTATGTTTCTTTATAAGAACATAGAGAAATTTAGCATTATGTTATTTTCACAGCAATGAATAATTTTATATAATATAGTAATTATAATATAATTTTACATATAAAAAAACTCTATAAAAATCCATTGGAGGTTCAAGAAGAAATACTTTGTGTGTGTGTCTTTTTTCATGCTATAGCCTATAATTTCTTTATTCATGGTGGATGTTTTGACTGGCATGTAATTTTTTGATTTCTTGCTGACAGTAGTCTGATGAAGCAATTGGCTTTTGATCCACAACATAATTAAAGGGCATCATGTTGCAACAAAGTCATTTCAATTTCAAGTGAATTCATTAATGTAAGGAGCAGAACATGCAGCCTGTCGAAAACCAGCAGCTGTTTAATTTTTTCTGACATGCTGAAAGGTGCTGTTTGATCATCCAACAAATGTCAAACAACACTTGTCGAGTTATACTATGTTGAATTATCATCCACCATCTAGTAACTCTATGATGTTGTTCTCTGTTTATCCTCTCTGTAGTTCTCAAATAGAGTTAATACATGTTCCTTCAAACTCACATGTTGTATGATGATTTGAAATTTAATGTATTTTTACTGTCCTATATAGTTTGAGCAGATGGTGTCCATTCATGATCTAAAGCACATTAAACTGGCTTATGATGTAAGTATTCAAAATATTTGGATTACTTTGAAATCTTAAATAACTTTATAAAAAGTGGTTTTCTTAATTATGTTCTCTTGTGCAGGAGTTTGCAAAGGCTGGCATCTATATGCTGGATTATGAAGAATTCCAGTCTGTTGTGAAAAAATGCCCAGGATTGAAATCAGTTGTAAGTATGATTGCAGCCACTGCCTTTCTATGATGAATTATCTTTTTCTCTGTCTGCAAAATACCGTACTGAGAGATTTAGATATTCAGTTATAAACTGTTGCTGATGTAAATGGATTAATGGAGGCCCACGGATTGTACAAGATTGTACAATCTTTCCTTTCTCACTGTCTTCTCACCCATTTCTTTGGCCTAACACTTTTCGAAATGTCACAGAAAGATTCTCAAATTCAGCAGCTATTCATGAAGATCGATTACACTGGCGATGGCAGAATCGAGTGGGTATGAATAATTCACTGTTTCCCCTTTAAATCTCAAACTTGCTCTCATTTAATAGATGAAGAGACGATTTGTTAAATGCAGTTGAGTTTTTGCACTTGAAAAACCTTTGGGCAAATTGTCAAAATGGGACTCATTCGCTAACCTTATATACAGACATATTTGTGTATAAAAACTGCTCACACTTCAGGTGATTTCTATTTTCCAAACATGTAACTTATTATATTTTATATTATATAAACAGTATTATATTTTTATATTAAAATATTATATTATTCTATTGATTTTAGTCACAAATATGTTTTTGAATGAGACTCATTTAAAATTCTCAACACACTTCCATACCAAATTCTATTAAAGTCTATTTAAGTGTTCGTCACTTTCTTTTAGCATGAGTTCTGCACATACATCTACCTGGAGAACAAAGAGAAGGAAGAGACTGTGCGTCGCAGTAAGATGGCAGCCTTCATATTACCAGCTAGCGTCAAGCCTCTAAACCGCGGGGAGCCTGTTCTGAGAATCCACTTCCCTCCTAATGGGACAGTTGTGACTCTTAGAGAAGATGGGGTTGTTAGTTTCTGGACCCCCAGGCTTTATTTGAAGAACAAGAAGAATGTGTTTGTGGGTTACTTTTATATTCCGTCTGGATTCTTTTTATTTGTTTACATCACATGTAATGAGATTCTGCATTTTATTTATTTTTAATTATATGAATCCCCTGTTTTATTTGAATAATTTTCATATTTCTCTATGCAGCCTGACAGATCCATTGGTCGAAAACCAAAATGGGCTACTGATTTTGTGCCAATGCCAGAGTATAATAAACTGATAATTGGAACAGGGTAAACTGCTCTTACATACATTTATTTTCACTTAACTAAACCTTTATTATGCACTGTAGAGTACATTACTTTCTAA